ACAGGGTTTTGGAGTTTTTGTGAGGAGTTCTTCACTTTTTCAGCCGGTTCTCCGGCTGCCCAGATTTGTAACAGGTGGCAAGTGCATTAGCCGTCTGCATCCTCCACCGGAGGTCGAACAGGACGCGGTCGCTCAATCTTTCCCGTGAATCTCACAACTCATCTCTGCCCCTACTAGAAATTCGTTGCGCCGCCCTTGTGGACAAAGAACAGTGAAAGCTAACGTACGAAACCAGAGGGCAGCACAGGATCGATCGCGCTCTGGTGCTTATTTTTTTATCTTTTCTTGTACATATTCTTGTATGTACGCTTCACTATTCGCTTAAAAATTTGTGTCGAGCCAGTTCACATGAATGGTCTCGCATTTTCACCACCAACAACGTTCCGTAATACCGTCAGCTTCTCATTTTTCACATTTTCGCTCAATTTGTTTTACGTAATAGACCCCCTGTATTCTTTGCCCGTGAGTGCCCGTGAGCAATCTCCCAACTTATCTCTGATGGAGAGATGTCAATTTGAAGAATGATGGGTTACGTCTCCATGAACTGTCATTATTGTCGTACTGATAACTTATTAATTAAGAGTCTGTCGAAGTAAAACATAATATTGTTGTCGATTAATAACGTGTCAAGATGTCTGCTATGTTAATAGTAGATTGGTTTCCTTTAGGACGTGACACGTATTTCAGGTATTTAAACGTAAAAAAATCCTACAACTCTTATTCTGCTGTCTGTATTAAACTTATTTTAATTTTAGAAAATTTGAGCTCTATCCCGTCACTTTTCAACAAGAAGTGAACGCTAATAGTTTGGTGGCATCTGCACCTTACGGGGGTTCTATTGCGATTACACGTAACCCAAAGAAATTTGAAAAAGTTCACGGGTCCAGTAAGCCCACCATCTCTCTTTATTCGGCATCAGGAAAGTTAACAGCTAAGATACAAGTATGTAAAATATTTTATTTCTAAAATATTTTCTATTTTATAGTTTTTGTATAATATTCTGCTAAAAATTCATACATAATCTGCAGTGGAGCAGTGGTCACTTGGTATTGCTTGGATGGTCACATAAAGAAGAGCTACTATGTGTGCAGGATGATGGCATGGTTTTAATCTACGATATGTTTGGCTGCTACCAACATACATTTAGCATGGGAAATGTATGATATCAGTATGCAAATTTGTTCAATTTCTTTAAAACAAGGTTTTCTAGTATATCTATATCATATTATTTTTGTAGGAAGTAAAAGAAACTAAGGTCGTTGAAGCAAGGTTTTTTCCAACGGAAACCGGGACAGGAGTTGCAGTTTTAACAATGGCTAATCGTATCTTTTTAGTTAATAACGTAGCAGAGCCTAAAGTAAGAGGATTTCCAGAACTTCCAAGTAAGCAGATTATTAAGCATTTTAATGTTCCAAGGTGTTATTGATAATCTCGATAGGTTTTCATAAGTTGGTTCACTTAATTTATAATATTGGTAGAAAGTGGAGGACCGATCAGTTGTTGGTGTGTAACATGGCACGAAAGGGAAAGTCAAGTTATTGTATCGACTCAAGAAGGCATTTATGTTATGCATCACACTGATCACAGTGCATCTTTATTGCCTTTTGTAAGTATAATCTACTTTTGCCATTCATGCCATGTACTTTCTAGTGCGGTATATGTACTTTATATTTTATTCTTCAGAATGCTTTCTTTGACAACAAAGTAAATTACATCACTGCAATGGCTGTCTCTAGAAACTCACAGTGCATCGCGCTCTATACAGATTCTGGTTACTTGTATTTTGGAAATATAACTTTATCTGGGGAACATCAGGAATGTTTTGTTAACAGAGTGGAACCACCTACAGAGATGGCATGGTGAAGTTTTATTGTAATGGACTCACTTACTTGATTCTACTTTTTTTCTTACATAATTGTTTATAGGTGTGGAAAAGATGCAGTAGTTTGTGCTTGGAATAGCACTATTACAATAGTAGGGCCTACTGGAGAAATGGTATCATTTAGTTACGACAGCCCTGCACATCTTATACCAGAGATTGATGGTATACGTATTTTGTCCAATACTCATGACATGATACAAAAAGTACCAAATGTGGTTCAAAGGATATTCAGAATAAACTCAACGGATGCTGCATCCTACTTGTTAGAAGCTTCTAAGCAATATGAAAAAAAAAGCCATAGAGCAGATAGCTACATTGATTTAGTAAAAAATCAACTGGATTCTGCAGTGTACAGTTGCATAAATGCCGCTAGTCATGAATTTGATTTTAAAACGCAGAAGCTTCTTATGAGAGTAAGTTATATAATTAAATGACGACTTTGCAGGCTCGTTATCCCGCACTTTGTTTAATCAATAGATTATTTAATTGATTTGATAATTTCAATAGGCAGCCAAGTTTGGGAAAGGATTTAGCGAGATAATCAATCCTGATTCATATGTAAAAATGTGCAGAACTTTAAGAGTTCTTAACGCTGTAAGGCACCCTGCCATTGGAATTCCACTAACATATACACAGTATCCTTTTAAAATACATATAATTGATTATTAAGTAATGAGTCAAGTCTTTGTATTAATTGATCAAGAATGCATCCTTAATATGCTTAGATTGCAAGTACTTACACCTAAAGTTCTATTGGATCGACTTGTGGCAAGAAGGCATTATTATCTCGGTATTCAAATTGCTCGATATCTTCAGTTACCTGAAATAGATGGGGAGAGCAGAATATTAGCTCAGTGGGCATGCTATAAAGTAGATATATTTTAAAGATGATATTTTGCAAATAGATTTTCATTTTTAATTAAAGTGAAAAACTAAATTGATATAAAACGTACTGACGTATTATTTAGGTAAAACAAACTCAATTAGATAAGGAGCAAATTGCTGAAGAGATAGCAGATAAATTGGGCTATGCTCCAGGTGTATCCTACAGTGAAATTGCAATAACTGCAGCTGATTGCGGTAGAAAACAACTAGCCATTAAAGTTAGTAATTATATTTTGAGGTACTTAATTACATATTGTTAAATAATTAATGTCTAGAGCAGTTAATAGATTATGAACCAAGAGCACAACTTCAAGTTCCTCTATTATTGCGCCTTGATGGAGAACGAGCCGCTCTTCACAAAGCTGTAGAAAGTGGAAATACAGATTTGGTATACACTGTTATTTTTCATTTGAAGGAAAATAAATCTCTTGCAGATTTCCAGGTTTGTTTAAAATAAATAAGCATTACGTAGAATTTAAAAGCATTGTATTGTTTCTGTATTTTAATTGCAGATGTCAATAATGCATTGTCCTTTAGCTATGGCATTATATATAAAATATTGTCAATGTCACAATCGTGACACCTTACACGACATCTACAGCCAGTACGATGACTTTCATTCTCAAGCTTTATGGTTTATAAAAGAGAGTTATCTGCCAAAGGTTTGTATAATAAAGAAACGCTTGCGAATTTTCATTTAATACACGTTAATGTTATCATTATAATATTATAGAATTCTATGGCAAGAGACGTGTTACTGCAATCTGCACAAGAGAATTTTAAATTAGCTCGCAACGATTCAAAAGCATTGTTAACGGAAGATCAAATTAAACTGCTGAGGTATCAACGATCCTTAGAGGAAACATTACATGAATCAGTTGTAGGCAAACCTCTTCATGATACAGTAAAACTGTTACTACTTCAAGATAAGCTTAAATTAGCAGATAAACTTCGTTCCGAGTATAAAATACCAGACCGAAGGTATAATATCCATATGTGTATTAAATTTTTATCAAAATCTGTAACCCATGTACAATATTCAAATATCATAATTGCGATTAATTAAATAATATATTTTTTAGATATTGGTGGCTAAGAATTCAGTGTCTGGGTGAAAACGACTTGTGGACAGAACTAGAGAAATTTTCGAAGAGTAAAAAGTCTCCAATTGGTTATGAGGTACTTGAGTTATATGTAGTCACTAACATAACTCAATAATTATTAAATGTTACTAGCGTTTCTTAATTAGTCAGTACTTACTTTTCATATGTTAATATTCTTTCCAGCCTTTCATGGATGAATGTCTAAAGCGAGGCAAAGAAATAGAAGCAAAGAAATATTTACCAAAGATCAGGGAAGAACTGAAAATAAAATATTTTCTTAAATTGAGGTAAATATTAGTAACGGATGATATTGGAAGTATAATCGAAATTTATAATGATCTCATGTATTATGTATCAATAGGATGTTAAAAGAAGCAGCACAAACAGCTGTAGAACAAAAAGATGCAACTGCTCTCTCAATTGTACAGGCTCATTGTGGCCCATCTGATCGGCAACTAGCAGATACGATTAATACAATGATGGCTGGGCTTCGTCATGGAAAATGAGGTTTCTTCTATCATAAAGAATCTTGCTTTAATCCTGAAGATCATTCCAATTCCATTCTACAGCAATATTATAAGACTACTGCAAATATGTAATGAAGTGCATTACCATTAAGTATACACACATTTAAGGTATTGATTACATAAAAATGATATGAAACATATATTAAGAAAACGAAAGTAAGAGTTTCATAATGCATCATTTAAGTTATTTCAAAAGTAAATGCGTGCACAAGGTGATATGTATATGATTATAATTATAAATGAGATTAAAAATGACTATACGGCAGAGGAAGAATCATTAGAATTTATAAAATCTGTATATTATTGTATAGAAAGTATTGCACATAGATACAATTTATACCTATAAAATATAATTGAATAACAATGTGTTCTAGGAAGCTATCTGGTTTTTAATTTTTTCTTTGTCCATTTTTAATCCACTCATGCTCATTACATACTGCATTATAATAAATAGATTTAAAAAATTATAAATCTAAGAAAATAAACTTAAAATATATGTATGTAATGAGAATTCAATAAGACCGGCTTATTCTACAGTAATTAAAATTAAATATTTATATAATACTTTCCATTTAGTAATATATATGTAGCATTCGATCATTTTACCATTAAAATTAGGACCCTATCCTTTTACTTTTTCTGCAGATTTTATAAAATCTTCATACATTTCCACAAGATCATTTACAATTAGCTTTTCAATTTCCTTATCTTTAGATAGTTGTTCATCTGTAAGAGACAGAACATGAGAGTTCTGTTTGCTGACAATAATTACCTGTTGTTTGCGGGTTTGTAACATATTTGCGATCACCAACTGCAATCACATAAAAAAATAATTAATCCAAATCTCTATGGGTCTCTCCCTGTACATACTACTGTTTTTCTAAGTATTTCGATTAGTTTTACAGAAACATGTGATTTACATTATCATAATTCAGTAATTTCATTTAAAACTCACATTATGTTTATATTTGTTGAGAGCATCTCTAGCTTTTGAAATTAATACCCCTTCATCTGTTTCTAGTTTGAAAGAAATTACAAAAGCTTTTGGGACCCATAAAGAGACTAATGGTTCCAAAATTTTTGGTACAAGATGCAGTGATATAGAAGGTGGTCCACTAGAAGGAATCTTGTGTACGGACTGTTAAATAAACATTCTGATAGATTTATTGTTATTTTACCAGTTTACTAATTTTGTAAAGAATTTAGGTAGGGTACACCAAATAATAAAATTACCATTTCATTGGATGGAATGTAAAAATCTGATACTGCAGCAGCCAAGTATAAAATTGCTAAGTGTTCTAGTGGCGCCAATGCTTGACATGCGGAGCGAAGTAGCCAAAGATATTCAGCAAGGGTAGTGAAACTTAATTGAAGCAACATTTTCTGCTTTAAGGCATTTTTGTAATCTTTTAAAATGACAGCTATCTTTGGAGTGTATTCCGGTAGCACTGTAAATTGAATAGTAGATTCTTGATTTTTGTAATGAATACAAAATTACATATTACAATTTGCTATACATGTAATAAATTCAATAGTTACTACATGCCTGTAATAGATGATTTTCCATTTTCTTCAGACAATTCCAACATGTCCAGGAACATTTGACCGGTAAAATATCTTGAAAATGGCTGTAGAGATTTTACTCTACACAATAGAAAAAGAGAAAATATTACATTATGATCATTCTGCATAGTGAGTTATACATTAATAATTAATGAACTGTCTTGATATTAAAATGTCCTGGTATAACCCAAAAGAATATTAGCATAAAATAAAATAACTATATATTAGAGAAATGTCATGATTACCTGTGCATAAAAATAACTGCATAACCTTTTTGCAGAAAGTATTCGGTGGATGCCGACCCTCTGGTCCCTGCACTAAAATTATCGACAAATCTTACAGTATTGTGTTCTAAAGGGATCGTTGTACCACCACTCTGATTTGACATAAAAAGGTATTAGAATATTTATTATAAGATATAATATTTATTTATGAACTGACTTACTGTGACTAATACAACTTTATTTCCTGCTTTAAAATGCATTTGGGTAAAATCTTTTAGTAGAATTTCATTTTTTGAAAGATCTGAAGGTGGTGGATTTTTGGCATAGAAGTCTTCCCATGTTGATGTCATATTGTTTTCTTCTTACACCTTTACAGCTCCAAAATAGATATTCTTGTGTTGAAGGAAGTAAATTATGTAACAGAAACTTAACCTCACTTTTCGTTTCTCATTTATCCTAACCTTATGCACCGAATTGCAACAAAATTAAAAAAACTGATTAATGATACAGTAACTTCATGATGGTATATTTGGAGCAATATTATTTTGTGATGTTATAAATGATTATATAAACTGTACCATTTCAGTCAAGCAGCTGATGATAATCCTTATTGTACAAATTACTTAAAAAAAGATTTTATCACAGAAACTCTTCTTCAGAAACTTATTTTATAATAGCAAGTATAAATATCTGCAACGCTAAAGGAATTATCTCTTCTTAAGAAAAATTTAGTTCTATACATATCTAAAACTCTGCTTTATGTAATATACAATATAGATATTAGGTTTAAAGGTAACCTTTATGATTATATTTAATAAAGCTTATAATCGATACATGATATAAATTATCCTTTTAAAAATGAATTTACTATTACAAAATACGCATTGATGAAAACAAACGTGATCACACTTTATTAGTACATTCAATAAGTTTTCATATTTAACTCATAATGCGACGCTGAGTAACTCTTAGTAATTATATTATTTCTATATTTCAACTGCACAAATTACTGACTGACCACTTTAATACTTAGGAGCTGGGCACTCTTGTTTGCTATAGTCCCGCACGGGTGAATAAAACTGAAAACAATGATTACATTAAAATTCCTTTTAACGAAAGAATATACTATTCGCATACCTTGTACTGTTTGTCCCTATATTCCTGCCAGGGTTCCGGGTTCTTCTTTTGAGACCAAGAAACATCAGGATTACGGGTAGCTAATCGTAAAATATAAAACCCTGCACCCAGTCCTCCTGCTACTAAGCACACGAACAATGGGATGAGCTGAAATGAAAATCGTATCACAGTTGTTATGCGATGAAACTAATTTCTATTCTGTACCGTACCGATGGGTGCTTTTTTATGCTCTTCAAATCGAGACCCTGCATTTTGCTCGCGTAGTTAACAAGTTTCAATTTCCGAGTATTCTGGCCCACCTTACGTATACGTAATTTTTGCGTTGCACCAAATGCGAATTACACTGCCATTCATCGATAGTTACCTCGCGGACCTACTGCCCTCACCGGCCGCGCGGGGTACTAGCGGCGGGAATGGAGCGGAATTTGAATCATCCAAGGGGCAGAAAGGATTTCCTAAAGAAAATAAATGTTTATCAAGAAAAACGATTAATGAAAATTATTTAAATATTATTGTGAAGTGTTCCTGACACACGTAACATAGTTTTTGTTAAATGATTACTTGCAGAACTTCTTAAAGAAAATAGTAAAACATGTTTAAAAGTTAACAAGTTTCTTAGCGATTCAATTGTTCCATCCACTGAAACGAAGTTAGATTATTATTTTAGCTTAAAAAAAATGGTTTATTAATATTTATACAATGAAATGCCGTAAGAAAATTTACAATGCATCCACTTTCGGACATAGAAGCGAAGTCATGATTTCATGTCTCTTATATATTTACGTTCTACACCTTTTTTCAGATTCCTCGAATAAATGGACACGTGTAAATTAATAAATGAGTATATAAATGAGCACCCGTAAATATAAGAAAAACTTTTCGTATCCGAGTTTTTTATAAACACAAATCTGAGTAACTTTTATGAATTGAATTCATTCGAAATAGGTATCTAAAACGTAAAATACCATTTTCTATTTCGTATTTGAAATAAGAACAATAAACTATTTTGGATTTTCTATTTTAAATAGATTTTGAATCTATTTCCATTTGGAATTAAATACTTCCAGAGAAGTGAGAATATTAGAAAAGAATCGATCAGAATGGTACTTGTTCTATCAACTGAATCAACTTTCGAAAAAGTTAAATAACACGCAAAACTCGAAATAGTCACTTTGGCAAAAACTGATGAAATTAAGTTCTTTACTGGTATTTTAAATACAAATACAAGTCATAAAATTACGTGTCCGAATAAAGCATGGACAACGAAGGGTTAACGTTACGAGTAGATGGCACAATTTATTCGAGACGATAGTTCTCGTGGAGGAATCGAGCCTCCTTTCGCTCTGTTAATTACTTGATCGCGATCGTTGCAAAATGACAATCCACCTTGCGAGCCGCCGAAGGAAGGGACGATAGCAATGGGGCGTGAGCAATTTCCCAACTCATCTCTGTTCGTTTTCAGTAATCGCCTTGAAAATGTCCTTGAAAATTCGCCTTGCGTATGAGTGCATTAAGTGCAAAATTACAGCTAACCTGAACAAACCTAGAGACGGGGTTCTGTCACAAATTGATTTTTACCATCTTATGATAGTTCATGTCTGTCTTATCTTCTGATATGGCCTACCAAAGAATTCAGAAGTCCCATAGAAGCCCAAATCCTATGTTAGCGCTTGATGCTCTTAAAGTTGGCTAACAAACCAGAAGTAGGGGTAAAAAAGAAATTGCATGTGTTAGCCAACGATATCTGACATATGGGAAGAAGAGGACGCATATAGAAAGGCGTGTATTGCGTGTAAGATAAAGAAAGAATGCAATTCACTATATATCGCCGTAAGATTAAGAGAGCTGGAGAGATGATTACAGCGCCGCCATCCGTTGGCTAACAGACTATTTATCGAGCATCGAATGTCTGTATCGTTCTGGGTATCTATGGAGACTTCTGAAATCTTTGGGCCTACTCATCTTTAAACGTCTTGCGCGAGATGTGGTCAACGGTGTAAATTATAGTTAGTAAACAGTTAATAAGGTTAGAAATATACAGCAAATTTCTGTTAAGTACAATATCTTGGTAAACAGAGAATAATGGTTACCGAAGAACAAGAATCAAGTACGGCATTAGCCTCCGAAATGATTCCGGTACCACATGTGCAAACCGCAGACGAGAGACCGGTAGAAGAAGTTTCAAATCAACCAGGAGATATATCGCGAAGAAGGCCACGAACAAGAAAAAACGCTCTAAATGCAGCAATATTGAAGCAAATGGAATTTTATTTTAGTGACGCCAACTTGAGTAAAGATAGGTTTTTAGGAAACCTTATTAAACAGGATCCCAGTAAGGCCCAAAACGTTCTGCTTAAACTTATTTGAATCATCTTTTATAATTATTATGTCGATACCATTATTGATGTTATGTTTTCATGTATAGTGACTTATTAGTATCGATAAGTATTTATTTTGATTATTTTAGAGATTGACCTAGGAATCTTCCTTCGATTCAATAAAATCCGAGCTTTAACGACTGAATTGAGCCGGGTAGCAAAAGCATTGAAGGGTTCGACCATACTATCGGTATCAGAAGATGGGACAAAAGTTTGGCGTGTCACTCCCATTAAGGAGAAGGAGAATTTGGATGAGTGTACTATATATGTTCAAGGATTATCTCCAGGAGCTGATCACGAGTTGCTAAGCACTATTTTTTCACAATATGGCACTGTAGAATACATATCTGTTCCAAGATACAAAAGCAATAAAAAAATCAAAGGTTTTGCATTTGTTGAATTTCAGACACCTGAAAGTTCCATGAAATGTATCAAGGTTAGTTTGGTATATTATGACAAAATTTGGAAGTTGCGTATATAAATTATTGTTTTAGGCCTTTCAAGAAAAGGGATGCGTTTTACCATCACAGACATCACCGGATGAACTCCTGAGCATAACAACCTTTGATGAATCAAACCAAGTAGAAGAAATGGAAATGGTGGAAGATTCTAATGAAAGAAAAACTAGTGATTTAAAGGAACCTAATATTAATAATGACAATTTACAAGAGAATTCTAACATAAAGACTACAGATCATAATAATGAAATTCAAAGTATGGATACAGAACAGTTACCTACAGAAGTGGAAGGGCATAGGAACAAAAAGAAAAACAAGCATAAAGAATCAAAATATTCCAAGGATAAAAATATACTAGATGAAGAGAGTAATTCAAAAGAAAATAATGAGCACAAAAACCAGCAATGTACATCTTCTGATACTGAAACTTCTAAAGTAGAAATGATTGAAGTATGTACTAAAACTGAAGTACACAACATAAAAGAAGAATGTGGAGAAATAAGTTCAGAAAACGATGATAAACAGAAAAGACGACAAAAAAATTTTTTGCGTGAAAAGAAAAGTCGTAGATTTGAACTACCTGAATGTATCGGAGAAGATAGATGTAGTTCCAAAAGCAGTACTGGATCAAAGAAAAAAATTAAAAATAATGAAAATATAGAAGAATCTAAAGTGGTTGAAGAAGAACCCAATATTGAGAACAATGAATTAAATAATATTGCAAAAGATCCTGAAGACTCGAAGAAAATGCAGAAAAGAAAACGCAAACGACATTCAAAGAGTGATGATATGATAGATGGTACTGAAATTGGAATGCAAGTAATGGCCAAAAAGGACTGGAAAAGGCTCCGTAATAAATATTTAGAATTACAAAGGAATAAAATGAAATTGTTAAAGCAACATTTAAAACGGGCTAGATGGAACCAGTGGAATAGTCACGACAAATTAAAAACTGAAAAGGAAGAAGCGGAAGAAACTAACAATCAAAAAGAGCAAAATACTGCTCCAAGTATCACCTTTGTACCAGGAGTTATTGTAAAAATTGAAATGGAAGAACCTTGTTCTGATCCTAAAAGTTTCAAGGTACATAAAATAGTTATATAATTTATAATTATCAAAGTAACAAAATGATACATATTATTACTTACTTTCAGGCAGAGTTAAGAAATTCAGGTAATATAAAATACATTGATGTACCTGAAGGAGCTACAGCAGCATTTATTAGATGCGATTCAGCAGAATCTGCACTTGCATTAGCTCAAAAATCCGCCAAAGCGAGGTCTGCCACCATTTTACAAGGTAAATAATACTCAGTATTATATTATTATTATTGTCATCATCAACAACCTTGAAACTAACCAAAAGCATTCAACAGGTGAAGAGGAAACGAATTATTGGGACAAAATATTAAAAGATAGGGCAGAAAAGTTGGGTAAAAAAATACGACCAAAACAACGGGGCAGGGAAAAGGTGTTGAAGAAAGCAGAAAAAGAACTTGGAAAACACATAAAATTTGATGAGGTGTAATCATGTCTTTACTGAAATACGTAAAATATATAATGTATATCTGTGCACAATTTACTGTGCAGTTAACATACTTGCATATAAACATTCTTAGTCTTAAAGGGTCCCGTTCTCTTTTAGCATTTCTTAATTCAGTATTTTTTTTGTCAATGTGTCAGAACTGTCTCTGGTCTTTACTTCTACACTCAGAATTGAGCATTAAGGAAGCAACATCAATACTGATGTCTTGTATTTCGTACGTGGACTTGCTTAAGTTAACCCATTCATTCAAATCTTATTTCTTATTTTAAATTTCTCTATTACCATTTTCCACGTCCTCGACCTCTTCCACCTCCACGATTAAAACCACCACCCCCGCCACCGCCACCGCCACCTCCTCTTCCTCTAAATCCACTGTTGCTACCTCCTCCCCTATTTCCGCCAAAAAATCCTCGACCACCTCCTCTTCCTCCTCCTCTTGGACCACCATGTCCGCCCATACCTCGTCGTCCACCACGGGCACCTAATCGTTTCACTTCCCCAGGAGGTTTAGGCAAAAATCTTTGCAGTGGCAATAGTTTCATTGGGTCAACATATAACTATAAAACATACACAAATATTATAAAAATTTGCATGAATAACATTTTAAAACTCCGTACCTTTGTATTCTTCTCAAAACTGGAAGCTTTCACATTCTCTGATAACTTTATCGAGACGTAATAATTCCTAACGTTGCCAAAGATTTCATCTATTTTCCCAATTTGCTGCTTATTCTCCATATAGATTGGAGCATTAAAGAAAGGAACTTGTTCAATATCTGCTTTTGCAACGATATCATCCTGAACAGTCCATTCAAAATGACATAAAGGCGTCACAGTTTCTGGAGGACCTTGATCATACCTATTCATATTTCAAATAATGCATGTTAAGCAAACATAAATACACTCCATTGTTTATCTATAAGAATAATTATAATAGCAAGACCTACCCTCTGTTGCCTCTATCACCTCCACCGCCGCGACCACCTCGAAAAGATCCTCCACCTCTTCCTCCCCGAGAACCACCTCTGCCAAAACCTCCTCCTCGACCTCCACGGAACATAGTCTCGTCAAGCTGCTTACTCTGAATAATAAATATATTCCATGTAAAAAAGATTTGTAAGTTTTAACCGAAGTAAACTTAATCAACGAAATTTTATAATCAAGATTTAATTATTTGTAGCAAAGCGCGATTCCAAAATTAAGATAATTATTTATTAAGAACTATTGTAACAAATAATCACGGAATGTATCACAATTAACCACGTGCCTAACCTCAATGCCGACACCGTGTATTAAATGCAAACGATGCAAACAAGTTTGAATGAAGGAGCATAAAGTAAATAGCGACAAAGATGAATATAGAGAAAAAGAATTCAGAAGTCTCCATAGAAGTAACAGAAAATTAAGACTGATTTCTAAGACTACGTCTCCATCGTACTCGAAATCTGGGATTTATCAAATCCAAACCTAGTAAATCCGAATTTAAGTGTCGATTGAAACGCTCACGATGGAATCCGTACATCACATACATATATACAGTGTGAGAAAGTCAACATAACCCAACGTAACGATACGAGTGTCAATACGAGATTTTACAATCAAATTAAAATAGTTTAAAAAATGGCTCTAAAGCGGAAAATAATGCAGGATGATTTAAGGAAAGCAATGAGTGAACACAAAAAGAAAAAGACCACGACAAAGAAAATAGAATCACCATTGGCTAAATATCCTTTTTGTATGACCTCTGCATGAATGTTAGGTTAAGTATAATTTTGCATGAAATATGTTTTCTAATAATACATTTTATTGGAACTTTCACTACTTTGTACAGTTATTCAAAAAACATATTAGCCTTAACCGATAAATACATATACTGATGCAGGACAACTTATGTGCGTTCTTTGTAAAACAATTGTAAAAAGCGAAGTTGTTTGGTTTGTGCATTTGAACTCGAAACTGCATAAAGAAAATATAGCCCTTGCGAAAAAGACAAGGTTAGAACCAGAAACAGTTCCCAAAACAAATGAACCTTCTCTAAAACGGCAAATCCCTTCTGTTACTGAAGATCAACCAAATAAGAAAGTAAAGGGGATATTAAAAAATGTAAACCAAACACAGGAGCCGACACAAATAAGTTTACCTCCAGACTTTTTCGACAAACCTCCTACTTTAGCAATTGTTATTGGCTCAAAATCCACAACTGCTGTTTCACTGAAGAAATCAGAAAAGCAAAATTCTAACGATGAACTTGAAAGTAAAAAAATTGATAATGAAAATGAAAAGTTGAAGAAGAAGGAGGCAAATCAACCACCACTTCCCGAAGGGTTTTTTGATGATCCAATTTTAGATGCTAAGGTAACAATAATATTAAATAAAAATAAGTGCCATATTCTATTAACTGTATAATAAATAAATACGTATATACTTGTTGGCTTACTAACAGAAGTTTACCTTTGTTTAGGTTCGAAACGTGGAATACAAGGACCCTATAGAGGAAGAATGGGAAAAGTTTCAAAAGGAAATAAAGGAGGAAACTGCTCAATCTGCTCAAATAATAGCAGATGATCAGGAGGAGGCTACAACAGAGCGTCAAATTGATGAGATCGAAGAACAAATTCGCCACTGGTCCAGGTAACATGTGTCCCTGCTTCATTCACCGTGTTATAGAATTTAAAGAAATTATGTATTGTATATTATACTTTATTTTTTAGAGTTATGGATCTTGTAAGGTGGAAGGAACAGGTGCAGGCTGCTGAGAAGAAGAAAGAATCCGTTGACGAAAACGTGTCCAGTGGAGATGAATCCGAGTTTGATGAATTTTTGGATTGGCGAGCAAAAAATTCATATTAATAATACTCTACAGATATTATTATTGCTGTTAAATTATTAATAAGTAGGCATACTATATAACCTGAATCATACTTAACCACAGTTTAAAAAATCTCTGAATCGCGTAAAACTGAATAAAATTAAACACTCTTTTAAGCTTCAAATATAATATACAGGTTTCTAATTATAAATACTGTTTATTTTAATTCCAGGTATCCAGTGTTTTCTATTAAGCGATTCAATGTATTCATTTACTTTTTCAGGCACAATACAGCTCTGGAAACTGCTCCGATCATTTGCTTCCAAAAGTTTTTAAGACGATGTAAGTATTGCTCCTAAAAATTTCTAATGCGATGTATTACCTTTCGAATGCTTCCTACTCGCCGTGATAAGTTATAATTTCCTTTTATACCACTTAAAGATCACTTATTTTACATACTTCTGCTATCGTATGAAAAAGAACAGGGATAACGGTATTCAGAGGTACTCTTCATCCGTGTATGACGATTTTATTAAAATGAATTGAAAGAGTCATAATTGTATTAAGTTAGTAAGTACAATGGATACAGGTAATTCATTATCTCCCATAAGCTATATACGAAATGTATAATATAAAGACTACGATATAGGCTAAGCTGATAGGATATAGGTAGTACTTTATAATAAAAGGTAATTCGACAGTACTTGTCACCGCATATACGTCGTATTATAAAATACTAAGACTGAAAAAAGGTGGATTCGCGTTATCACCCGTTCCGCTCGAATTCCTACACGCTAGCTCTCGGCTACCAAAATTCCTCCGTACTCTCCCTGGCGTGTTATCATCGCAAAACTATCTCAATAACATCCCTATCCGTCTTGCCAAATCCAAATCACTTCCGCAGAGGCCGCTTCGCACGGCGCCTGTCCCTTTCGTGTTCCGCCTAGAAAATCTTTTTCTAATTGAAACAAATCGCGAGAGGCTCGTTTTCGATTCCCTCGTTATCGAAGAAACCTGTGCGAAACCTCCGATTCGATTTCATAAGTGAATATTCTGCACACGAGCGACACGCGCGTCCCTAGCAAATAGGACTCGCGGGTCGCCGTAGAAATGTCAATGAAACCTCGGAAAGCTGAATTCTCGTGATTATCAATAATAATCCCTAGTGCGATAGAAATGTGCGAGTGTCCTCGGCGTTAGATTTCTGCTCGTAGAGTGTCCTCCAATCGAACCGTGCTCTGGTCGTTCCTGAACACGGATTGCTTGTGCGACATTAGGCGTCGATTTTAGGACAAGCGCGCAACTTCGAAGACGTCGCTGGCCAGAGAAATTGCGGCTTTTCTACAAGGTCTTTAACGGGAATAAAAAGAGGAAAAGAAATTTCAGCAATTTCGGATTAACAAACGCGACACGTCTGAGATCTCTCCCTGCGGAACCGCACGTGGAATGGCGTTATCGCGGTATTCTCTAATCATATCACCGTCTCGTAATCAATGCTCGTTCTAACCGCGCGTCTACGAAGAACGTATGTCGATCGGCCCGCTAAGTCTCGTCTAGAAAAGTGTGCGTCGAGGAGTACCGCGAGAAAATCCCCGGAAAATGATCTAACTAGCTGCGAGTATTATCTTCTAGTTGGCGGATCGCTCTGGTGCGTTAGAAAAGTCTCTTCTAGCCAAGCCGGATGCGAGCCTCCTCGTCCCGATAGCGGCGCGCCCAATTTCCGCCCGCGACTCGCCGGAGACGCGGAAAATGGATCCAATTAGGGCACTAATTGTCTAGAATCGACGGGTCGCTTCGATGCGTTAGAAAAGTCTCTTCTACCCAGGTTGGATGCGGATTTTCTCGACCCTGCGTCGAGACACTCCACTTTGGCATGAGATTCGCCGTGGAGGGGACGCTAAAAGTGGTCTAATTTTTGTGCTCAGCGATTGCCCCCTAATTCTCGTGCAGGAGAAAAGTCTTTTCTACGCGAGCCGAATGTGGGTCTCTACCTCAAATCGAGATTTGAACGATGCGCGAGTTCTCGCGACAAATCGCGGCGATTCGACGCGCCCTGGGAAATCCCCTTGTCGACGACGACCACCCAGTCCCTTCCCCGAAGCTGGGAAGCCGATCGTCGACTCGGCTCTTTCTTCCCTGATTTCATATATTTTCTTTTTTTTTTTCTTATTTATTTTTTTTTCCGACTTTTACTTTCCCTAATTAACCACGTATCCCGCCCGCGATAATCCGTCTTCGTCTCGAGGCGACGTATAAAAAGTTCGATATAAAATGGACTGCGCGCAAAGTCACCGATAGTCGAATACAAAGCCGTCGTTGGAGGCGAGTAAATGATCCTCGCGATGGAGCCGGATGGTATCCGCGATTATCCGCGAATATCCGATGCGCTAATCCGTGCGAAGCCTAATTTAGTGACTAGCTGTAGTTTATTTCTAATGGTTAAGTCGAAGTAGCGAAGCGGTCCCCGGCTACTCGACGCTCCAACCTTGCCTAAAAGCGTGCTTAGTGCAACTCGACTGATTTGTCAATGGCACGGAGAATGTCCTTTATGTACAAACGGACGCCGAGCCGATAGAAAAGCGCGCATCGACTGGTCGAAGTTCGTTCCGCCGTTTATATCTCATTTCACGCCGATTTTGGCGAGAACGTGCAGCGTGCCTGCTCTACAGAACCGTGGAATAATCCAAACGATGTTTATCCCCGATAGAGATCGATATAAAGGTAGATTGTACAGCTCGGTCCGTAATTTACCGACGACTCTCGTCAGCGCCCGTCACTTGGGGCGAGATACTCGGCAGAGTTCCGCGCCAAGTACTCTCGGAGGCGCGAACTCGACCAGGGCCTCGCTCGCGACTCGTGCTTCTCGATACCTAATGGACGTAGAAAATATCGCGAGAGAGACTAAAGGGCTGATAAATCTCAAATTACGCGGCACTTGGACGCGACATTTCGGAAAGCATGGAAAATGCAACTCGACCGATTCGATTCGTTACCAAAGTGGAGAACGGCCAATTTAGAAGTGGCCACTCCTCGATCGGCTAAACCTACGAATTCACCCCGGCTTTTCGAGATCGATGCCCGGTTCCTCTCGAAAATCGACCTTACTTCTTAGTCGGCTAATGTAAACCTCGCGCACCCTCTAAGATTAATTACCGATAAGAGCCAATCGTCGATCGCCGGACTCGAGACCTAATCCTGAATCGGAAACCTTCCCCTAATTCCCGTTCAGAATTACGCCGATCTCTCGGATCGCCGGAAATGGATCCATCGCCTCGATCGGGCCTAAGGCCCTTACCTCGTGGTCGAGTTATCGTTATCACCCGACCGGAGCTATCCCTAACTCTACCGAAGTCGCTCCTCCTAGAGATTAATGCCCTCGGCGGACATGCGCTTCGAAACGTCTCACTTTTATTTTATTTTTTTTCTTCTTTTCGATTTTTCCTCTCGACTTATCTCATCGATCTTTGCGCTGAAAAGGAAAAGGTACACTAAGTCAGGATCCGTGGATCCCTTTGGCGCCGGAAATTGGCGGACCTATTCGGAACGGAGATCCCTGGGGATCGCGATTCCCACATCTAGAAAATTACCGTCACTACGGTGATAAAACAGTAGTAATATGTTCGTAATCACAGAGTAGCACAGTCCCTAAAACTCCTCGTCGCAGCCGGCCTGTTCTTTGTAGCGGTAAGCTTTTCCGATGGTCGTACTTTAAGAGTTAGCGAAGTCGCATCGTGCGCTTTATGTATTTTATATATCTTTGTCTGATGCATCTTTTTTTTTATAATATATGTATAGATTTATGTATACCGTAATGTGGCGGGGCCAAAACCCACTCACATGCTGGGGAGCAGTTCCCTCGGAGGATGGGCCTGGTCCCCAGAATACTCCTCGGAATTGAAATAAAGACGGAGGGATCCCTCTAAATACTTCTAGGGTCTCTTCGCAATCACCGGTTCGTTATGGGTAAAGCTGAGTACGCGGCTGAACCTGAGCATGTACGAGGCAAGACGAACATACAAGTTTGGACGTACAATCAAAATGCAGCAAACCGCCTCGGATTGTTCGCTGCACGACCTGAGAGCGTACGAATGCCATCCGACAAGATGTCTGCTTGTTGCCTCGAATTATTTTATTCGCGAACAAAAAACAGCCGTGAATGAGACATTCGTTTCGCCTCGCCTTGCGTTGTACACGTTTGGATCTGGCACTGGAAATTTAGAATTTCTCTATCTAAGCTAATCGAACAGATACAGCCAGTTTGGAGATTACGGAAGGGGACATGTTGGGACCTCTTCCTCGTTACTATCTCTTCCGCTGGTCGTATTAGGTTGTCCAGAAAGTTATTGCGGCTTTTAACGTTCAATTAAGCGGCAAGAACCGCGATAACTCTCTGGACAATTTAATAGATTTAAATTAGGATCACGAAAGTTCGAATGAACCTCAACTTTCGATGTGCGGAGGCGGGTTAAACTATGGGCGTCTTCGGCAGAGGATTGTTAAGAGAGGCCCTTGAAGAAATTTTGACCAATGGATGTCAAGGTCTGCGAAATTTAATCATTGATCCTAGAATGGCTTAGATCCGATTCTAGTAGTTAGGGGTAGTGATAAGCAATTCCAGTGCAATAAGTGAATGCAAGATCGAGACTACGATTAGCTTCCAGATGTCTTTTTGCAAGACCGAAACCAAGACTATAGAACCAAACCTGATATCGTTCATTGCTATCTCTTAGTGATAAGCAAATGCAGGATCAAAACCAAGAACAAGACTACCATGGTCTTGGCCTTAGGGTTGCTCGGTCGAGACTTGGCCTCACAAAAAATGCAAATCAAAGACCTAGACCAAGTTTGCTTGTCACTAATCGGGGGAGAAGAAGTATCGCGTGCTTCTGAGTGGTCCCGATAAGAAAACGGACTCCTTTTGTACGGACCAATTTACAAGTGTCGCGTGGGGAACCCTAAATCAACCCATTGTAAAGCGACCCAGCAAAACTAAATGACCCGAGCAGGTGAATTTGAATCGGAAGAGATGGATCGAGGACGAAGTGCCCAATGAGGATTTCCCTTCAAATATCAATCAATTAAGCCCAATATTTTTCGATAATGGGTACCTGATGATTCGATCCCCTTCCGGTGTATTCGCAAACATAGACCGGTAACTGCGAAAGCGACCACGTGGCGAATATTGGCGCATTTGGGCCGGGAACTCGCAACCCGGGATTCGCATTTTTTATCATTTAGAACCGTCCTAGTACGGCTAGCACCCCATTAAGTTCGATTAGGATATTTAACTTCAGGGCGCGCGGAATCTTTGGCGCAGTGCGTCAGAATATTTATATACCTTGATTGAGTAGGCACTACGTTACTGAGATGCAATTGGTGGACTGTCACTTGTTATTTGTATGTTCAATTATCGTAGAGATTCGGATTAACGTTAAGATTAATATTAATATCGTTAAAGCTAAGGTATTTAATGCGTATATGTACCGTTGCTATCCGCGATTCGCGATTCACTTGCGAACAGGTGAGAGGCGTCGACCGTGACTGTAATTACTAAATTATCGCATTGTCGATGTAACGCTCTCTCGAAACGCAACCTGACGTTTCCTTCTTCTTCTTTTTCTTTTTTTTTTTTTACGATATTACAGGCACGTCCTTAAGTAGTCGTCAATGGAAAAGATATCAAGGCGAATGCATTGTTGCTTCTCGCGCCGAAGATTCGCACGGTCGGCAAGGTTACTTTTAATGTCGTTGATTGTGGTGTAATTACAGGCGCGAGTACCTATACGATGTACCTGTACCATGTACTTGTACGATGTAGTTGTACAGCCACGACGTGTCCTTCGGCCCCGAGGATTTTTATCGGGATTTTGTTCCTCCTGCGAGTAAATTCCGATACTTCTTGGAATAACGTTAAGCTGTACAAAATTTAGATTGTCAAATAATTCCGCGTTATCCTAACCGTATATTTATACAGAATTTAAAACCGGATCGTGCTGGATTTGACGTGTTGAACTTTTTGCGGAAAAGCCAACGGAGCCGAGGCGGAAAGTCGTGACTAAGGAGACTTATACGCCTTTCGGTCTATAGCGTGCAATATTATTTTAGGCGAGTTCAACGAGACGAAGCCCATTTATTAACGAGATTTTCGAGTTCTTGATTAAATCCCGAGGGTTTTCTTCGGGTACCTCTTTTCGCGTGCGAACGGAGTGAGATTCTTGCATCGTGCAAAACTCAGCTGCCAATTTGATTCCAGACGAATTTATACTTCGGACATGTGTCGTTAAAGTGTTTACTTGTTCGAGCAGCTAAAGAGATCAACGCTACGTGGCTTTTTTCGGAATAATGTCGTTAGCGGATCTTCTTCAGTGCAAAAGCCAGCGGAGCCGAAGCGAAAAGTCGTGGCCAGAATGACTTTTGTAGAAACTAGCTCGGACTTATTTCATAACCCTCTCGATCTAACGTGCAACCTTATGTTAGGCGAGTGTCACGAGATATAAACTCCATTACTAACGAGATTTCGAAGTATCGTATTTTGATTCGGCCCCCACGGCCAGCGCGTGGTACGTATCGGAGTACCTCGAGTACTCGGTATGTACTGCGTATGTATAGGTACGTGGATATTATACTTCCAGGATGTTATACTTCAAAACACTTTCGTCTGGTCCCTCTCGTGTTGCTTCTGGTTAACCGGAGGTAAACTCCGTCCCTGCGTATCCGTAGACCTTCCAATCTGTCGTGGAATCGGAAGTACAAGAGAGAAAAGGAAATGTTAATATGAAAAAGAACCATCCCCAAGTGATAATCGATTAATTAATCCTTTCAAGACTGACAATTGTCCTAGCTTCATTTTTAAGCTTCTTAAATACTCTTGACTCCACGACGGATCGCTTTTGGCTTTAGGGTCACTTCCTCCCAGGAACGAGAGAATCCTCTTCGCCTCCATCACTCTTCGAATTTCGAGAAAATTGCCCCAGCCTTGGTTTAATTATAACTTAATCGAGCCAATTCTCGAGCGGTTTAATTCGATCTAATCTCGCGTTTTTCTTTTCCAGGACCGGGTGAAACGAGGCGTTCGCCCTAGTGGTCTGCAACTAGCTTCGAAGAGCATCCTGTCGGCTGACAAACTCTGACCCCAGGAGTCGCGCCTCTCTCAAAAGACGACGTCGAAAAGGTATTTGGTATCTTTCGAAATTATTAGTTAAGATGTCGGGGAAAATGATAAAACGACCGGCGCAATTCCCACGGGACAGCGTAATTGCTGCGCTTCGTTCCTCCTCTCCTCCTTTGTCCTCCGGATTTCTGGATTTCTGAATTTCGGTGCTGCCAGAGAGTCGTCCCTTAGGAAAGTAAAGACCCTACGAGCATGGAGTGGCGGAGTTTGTGCATCAATGAGTCGCGAAAGATTTTTCAAGCCTGATCGGATCGAGCGATTCGTCGCCTTTCTTCGCCTTCGGGTGGCGACCTCCTCAGGGATCTGGGAAGCCTGGATCGGGCCCCAGATGGTCCTGCGGGATGATCTTGTCCTTTTCTTACGCTTTGGCCTCGAGGTACTCCACGGTGACGTTCTCGAGAACCGGGTCGGCCACGTTGTTTGCCTGTCCTGGGGGAGATTTGTTGTTGGACCTCGCCGATACCGCCGATGCGTTTCCACTGCTACCGCGACTTCCACGGCGAGATCCTGTGCGAGACCCTGCCAAAATTCGGCATATCGTTAGAGTACATCTAGCCGAATTCGTACAATCAGGTGAATTGCTCGAAGGAGGTCTTTTATCGACTTTGAGTCGTCCACAAATTTGTACAACGATGCTTCAACAAAGCGTTCATGAATACCACCGCGTCAATTGAAAGATCTTCCTCGAGGGTCTCAAAGACATTTCCTGTTTTATACATAGGCAATCATTTTGTATACTTCGACTTCACTTTTCAGAATTATCCAGTAACATCGGTAGAGAATGTGCAAAATTGTTCAAATAACACGTGGAACGGAAAATTTGCGGGGAATTCTGCATTTTAATTAAACTCGTTAGAGAATTTGATGAGGAATATTGATATTTAAAGCAATCTCTCACGAGGATCACGTTAAAGCCGAATGCTCTTGGTTAATATTAATGACCTTGTTGAACAATGAAGTCGAGTGTGTCTATTATCTTCTTTTTTTTTTGTTCATTCTTGCAACTAGATCTCATTTAAACACCATGCGAATTAAACTCGAGGCCAGTCCTGCGAATCGTCGTTACGCAAGCAGGCATATGAATCAACTACACGTGTAGTATGAACAATTACTGTTCATTTTATTTAGCAAAGAATAGCCTCGTTTTTAAGTATTTTTTTTTGTAGAGGGAAAACGACGTCATTTTAATGGTTTTTAGAACACACATTTATATGGATGAACGGTAAAATTCAAAAACCCGCGTTCTTTTGCAATTATTGTAAATAATAGTTAAACAAAAAACTAGGCAGGATTTTCTCATCATTTAAACTCTGTATAAGGTAAATGTGTGCATGGATAGATAGTACGTTTATGTATAATGCATTGAAAAATCTTATGAATTCATTTCCTCGACTGACATCGCGAGGATGTAGATGTAAATCCTCTTACAGGGAGGTAAGAAGATTCCATTGAATTTGTATGCAACTCCGCAAAAGTTATAAAATTAAACTCGTAGCAAAGTACACATTTTATACAATAGAAACGTCGTTCCACCTCAAGAAGTTCGTTCATTTTTTGAGCATCTATTGTCTATTTTTTTTATTAAAACGAATCTATGTCAGCGGTTTCAACAACATTCCAGCTATTCTACAAGAAACATCATAGCACTGGACTGCGCGTATCCATCGACTTGAATTATGACATCTAAATGTGTTACATGATCACAGTCATAGAAACTCTACATGACAGTAAAGGAGATAGCATTATATGTCTATCTTATGACGCATCCTATCTTTTTCACTCCATTGCGACAGCTTTCCTGTCTGATACGCAATCCAGTACTATATGTACACACTAGCTCGCGCAGCACAAAATATCTGCAGTACCTCTGCAACATTTCTTAAACATCTCCAAAGGCATTAAATTCCTTCAAATATTGTCAGTAAGTATTGTTAATAAAGGCTCTATCCGGAAAAATAAAAGAATGCTATTAAAATCAACGTTCCCCGATCTACGAAATGCAAAACTAAGCCGTCTTGATTTCTCATTACATTTCATACCATTAACATAGGTTTCGTGAAAATGTAGAAAATGTTCATTAATGAAGTAAATAGTGAAAAGTGTTCGCACGTACAATCGATATTTCTGTGCTGGAAGGGTAAGCTACTCTTCTACTCTAGGCTACTTCCACGAGCTATGACCCAATAGTGAAGTATACCATATCACAAGTGAGAATATAAAGTTTACTCTGGTGCGAAGACTCGATACGTAATCAGGCAAATCGTTTACTGTAGCAAGCAACTATCACCGCGAAGTGGTCCATTTGCTATAGGAAAATGGCAGTGCCGACTGTCGAGTCCTTCGAAGGATTTTTGTCTAAAGGATCTCCGGCCGGACTTTCACGGTAAATTTATTTACAATAATGGATCATCGCGAATCCAAGGATGTGGAATGGTACTACTCCGGGTGCCTCGACTCGAAGGAATTTCGGCAATCGCATCCTTGACCGTCTTCTTGTTACGAATCGATGTCGAATGGGAAATAAATGAAGAGGAAGAAGTTCCCCTCGTGTTTCCACGAATCTCGCGCCGAATAGGTCAAACGATCTCCGTGACTTTCAGCATTATCATTACCCAGTACACGTACCTTTCTAATAACGAGCCACTTTCCGAGTAACTTGTCATTACTCCACCCAATCCTATCGCACAGTGCAGCGATTTGACCATTTAAACAACGTATAGCAGCTTCGGTGGCATTTATATTCCCTGGGAATTCCTCGATACCGATTATCGAGAAGCTATGAAAAACGTGACAAATGTGAGCGATAGATCGAATCGTAAATGAAATTGCTCCCTGACGGAAATGACGTGCACCGACCCGCGACCCTTCGCTGATACCATATCAATTGGTCATTTTTTACCGCTGAGTGATTGAGCATTGATATCCGAGAGAACTGGGTCAGATCGAATTTTACATGAAATTCATTAAAAGTTTTATTCAACGCACAAATGAGACAGAATTGAGATATCAGATTCCCATGGAATCGGTTATGTAATTAATTAAAAAAATTATTAGATCAATAATTTGTGGATTACGATAGTTTCACTCGGTAGATTCATTGACGTACGCATTAACGATTGGCAGATTATGAATTAATTATCGTCGGGCTAGTTTATCTTAGAAATACACGTCAAGACTTTCTCACGTTCTTTTTGTCATAAAGGGACATATTATACGAAATCCTTCGAGTCGGTTCCCGGCTTATGTGCCATTTTTCATCCTTTCCTGGACGGTGGAACGTCATGCGAGGAAGGAAGATCTACGAGGAGACGCACAAATGTCAGCAGCGTAACTAAAATTTCAGAGCCCCATAAAAAATCTATCCTTCCCCTAGATCTTTACAAAATTTCTTTCGCGCCACGTTATTTCGTAATACCTTATCAGAATACGGTATCAGACGCGTTTATAGATATCAACGAAGCATGCATATTAAATAAAATTGCAAGGCGATCGATGATTATCCCTCTTTAAATATTAAAACAAAAAGAGAGAGAGAGAGAGAGAAGAACGATCCCCAGAAACAAAATCCGGACATTCGAGCGAAGGCCAGAAAAGCCGGAACCACGAATTCCGTTCTTCGCCTCGAGCACCGAGAATGCCGGATTGCAAGTGCACTCGTTGCAGCCCTCGCGTTTCCTCGGTACACATTCGACGTCGCCGAAGCTCGTGGGTACATACACGCGGTGCTCCCCTTTTTCCTCTTATTTTCTTTTCGTTATCCGGCGGCCTCCCCGAGCGAAATTTCGACGTTTCGCGTTCTCGCCGGCCCAAATACCGGGCTCGGTTACGCCGCTGAGAGAGATACCGAGATCTACGGTGAGGAGGAGAGAGAGAGAAAGAGCGAGCGGAGGGAAGGGGGCGAGAGTACCTACTGGTCGATAGAACTCTGGCTCTATTTAACGAGGGTTGACAAAGTTGCTTGCTTAGTAAGTGAATGAATAAAAACCCGTACGGCTCACTCGCTGGGAGTGTTTCGCACCTTGCGAGGCGGAGGGCGAGTGCGCCCTCAGGGAGGCCATAGAGGGCTGCCGCGAGGGGCCCCGCACGCTCGCCCTGGAGCTGCGTCGCTCCTGACCGTGCAGCAGCTTGCTGTCCTTCAGCAGCGAGACGTTCATCAGCCGCGCGTTCGGCGTGTTGAAGATCGTGCGATTCTCGCGCCAGCGCGCTCTGAAATCGCCACGTCACTCCTAGACTCTTGTCGCATTTCGACATTACCCGGATTTTTCGGAGGGAAAAGTAGAAGAGGTGCCGATCTTGATTCGGCTCGGGAAAGACGGGGCAGTTTTCGAATAAGCCCGGAGTCCCACTGAGCGCGTCCCGTGTCGCACTAAGCGCGGCGCGTCGACGCGTCGAGGGGGAAAAATGTCAGGTTTGATTGTTTGAACCGCAATGATAACGTTGCATGGAGAATTATGTGGTGTTTTCGTCTCGCTAGCGCACTCCTGTGTCCTATTTTCGTTACATTCAAGCGATGAATTTCAACCCGATGCAGTGAAAAAAAAAGTCCTACTCTGCGTCTAAACAATTAAGAACCCTGGCGGAAGTGATACCCGTGGTTAACCCATTTGTATTCGTAAGCGGAGTAATCCGTACGCGATTGTCGTGACTTATCACCGAGCACGTTATGATTCGCGAGCTATGACGTTCACTTATTTTTGCATGATTTATGAAGTTTTTGCGTATTTAGAGTTATGATAAAAATGGGTAAGGTGATGTGAAAGGCATCAAAGAGGTCTCGTTTATAAAACTTCTCTCCGAACCAGGCGGACCGAATCGTTTCAAGCATTACAAGGTGGATGTGGGGGCTGTAAGGAAGGTCCTGATACCCATGACATTTCATGTTTTATAAGAAATTAAAAAAATCTTTAAATAAATTTTTTTTTAAATTGGAATCTCATGGGTGTCAGGACCTTCCTTATAGCCTCCATATTCTCAGGGTAAGGTTCGAAACGATTCGGTACCTCGAGTATGGAGAAATGTTTCACAAACGAGACCTCTTTAACGCCACGTTCGCATCACCTTAAGCGCACCTGTGATTTTCATCCTCGACGCGTTGACGCGTCGCGCTCTGGGTGACACCCGACGCGCTCAGTCGGACTCCAGCCTAACTCCGTTCCGAAATCGCTCAGTCAAACACGGACTGAGATCGAATTCGGAAATCAACGGTCCGGTCTGAGTTTTTCATGAAAATATGAACTCCTTGGAACGAAGCAGAGAAAATGACTTCGTTTAAAAGTTGAGCTTCGTCCGATTTGGAGTAGAGAGCGGTTCTCTGTCAGGTGCGCTCCGACATGTCACGTAAATTATGGACTATCTCCGAATTCGGAAACTACTAGTTGAGACCTAATTTTCGACTGAGATCGAAAGATTTTCGGAGAAGTAATAAGAAACACTGTTGAAATAAAAATAATCTCCTGTAAATAGTGTGCTTGATTTGACTCAATGAAATAGAGCGATTTTCGGGCATGTGCGCCGTGAAATCGCTTTCTTCTATTCTGAACCGTTTCCGCATTCGAAAATCGTCGGCGGAGTCCGAATTTTCAACTAAGACCGGGCCTTTGCTAATGAAAGATAAGAAGTGAAATCCTTTGACAGGTCTTAAAGATAACCCGAATCTTCGCGATGTTTCTGCCAACGTACTTGCTGAACAGTCTCAAGACTACGCAAATGATGATGAACATGAGGGCCATGCCCACGAGGACTCCAATCATGGCCGGGTCGACGTATTGCAAGTTCGGCGTCTCTTTGGCTTCGGCTGGAAATACGGTTGAGATCGATTTTACAGACGTGCGGAACTTTTATCTTTTCTTGCCTTGGGAAAATTACCTTTACCGAAGCAATTTCGCTTGCTTACCGAGGCATTCCACCGCACCGTCCGCTTGCACGACCGGGATCTTCTCGAAGATACAGATGCAGCGACCGTCGCGGCATTCCGTTTGCGACACCTTTGCCTCGCATTGCTCGCTAAAGAAGCATGACTCGTTTACGTTAGCAGCTGAAACGTGTAATCAACGAATTAACGCGATGTACAGATCTTGGAAATCACCTGAAACAATTCTTTCGTTGAACATTTCATTACGCGACCGATAAGAATTTTTCTCTCCTCTTTTTCAAAACTATCTTCTTTTTATGTCATTCCTTGAGAAGCTTAATTCGAAGGGAGCTTCTCGATATTGTTGATTTTGAAAGGGAACGTTTCGTGGATTTCCAATCACGCGATACTTTCGAATTTGCGCAACGCGAATTCCGGGAATTAATTCTTGAGGAAAAGAGCCGACTAGTTTCTTTCCATAAAAGTAGAATCTAGTGCCATTCGCTCTCTGGTTCACCTTGCCGTTCCTCTCCAAATCCGGAAATCGGGATCGGTTCGACGATTGGATTAAGCCTGCTATATATGGACTTTACTGTCCCTCGAGCGTTTCGCGCGAGCGGCCGTTTCGGTTTGTCGGTTCGTAGTCGAATTTTTCGGAGACAGGCACTCTCGAAATAAAAATCCGCCCTCAATTTTCTAGCCTCTGAATACCAAAATAAAAAAAGCAAAGACGAAAGAAACGCAAGTAATCGAATTCCGTCAGTAGGCACCCTGAAGATAAAAATCCATCCTTAATATTCAAAACACTGAATAGTAAAAAGCCGAAATAAAAAAAAAAAACAAGGTGGAGCCTTACAATTTTTCCACGTGGAGAGAAAATGATTAAATCGCCGAGAGAATAAAGTAGTCGACTTCCATAGACAGGCATGCTCGAAATGAAAATCGGTTCACAATTTTCAAGGCACTAAATTGCAGAAAACCCGAACTAGGGAAAAGAAATGCCTTTATATTTTTTTCCAAGCGAAGGGAAAATTGTTAAATGGCCGGAAAAACGAAGTAGTCGAATTCCATGTAAAGGCACCCTCGAGATAAAAACCCATCCACAATTTTCGAGGCACTGAAAGGTAGAAAACCTGAAATAAAAGAAAAAGCGTTCTCCTATTCTTTAACGCGTAGAGAGAAAATTGTTAAATCGTGAGAACGAAGTAGTCGAATTTCATGGAAGAGCACCCTCTGGGTAAAACCCATCCACCATTTTCGATGAACTGAACGGGAGGAAAGCCGAAATGGAGAAAAAAGAATGTCTTCACATTTTTTCCAGGCGGAGAGAAAATTGCTAAATCGCCGGGAGAATGAAATTCCAAGAGGGCCAGTTGAGGTCGCCCCCGAGGTCCCCTCGACTCGAAGACGGCAAGAAGTGGGATCATCTCGGCGATCTCGGGTTAATCCCGAGCTCTTCTCCTCGGAGAAAAAAGTCCGCGGGCTTCCATAAATATTCAGGCGACTCTCGCCGAGGTGCAGGAGGGCCGACTCGCGGGCTGCATTATTAAAGCCACGCGCGGCGCGTCTTTGTCGCGGTCTTCGGGGCCTCCCTCTCAGGGCGCGGCATCCCTTTTGGTGAACGCGGGTCCAGGTACGTCGTCTCGCGTCCGCCTACACGAGGTCGTGTGCCTCTGGATTTTCCTCTTGAGTGGTCGAGCAAGCAACAAAGCTGGCATTGTCTGCCGGGGATCCGCGACGCTCAACAGTCAATTACTTCGCTGATGGTCCGATGGCCTACTAGGTCGCGAGCCGGCATTATTTCCTGGGGGTCTAGGGGAAAAGGAGTGCACCTCCTGCACCCCTATCTAGACATTATTCCCCTCGTCCTCTGGATATCGACTCCCCTGCGAGATTTGCCGCGACTCGACCAAATTAAATATCCCGATTTTGACTTCTGGGTGCCACGAGATCGGCGGATATTTTTATACGTAAAATTTTGATTAAGACCAGACGGCCTTTAGAGAGCGTAAAAATGAATCACGAGTTACAAGGGCTTATATTAAGAACATTCAATGGACCATCTAGAATTTCTTATCTTTTTCTTTTAATATCGAATTGACATTGAGATTATTAGCGGCAATGGACTCTATGACATTCCGAAAACTCCCGCCTGCCGCACATTTCCCTTTTGATCCGGCTTCAAATTCTGGTCACCTTATGAGTAATAAAAATAATAATCAAAACTTGTTTGATAATTACTAATCTTGGAAACAAAATCCAATCAAATTAATTCAATATGGAATCGTGACCCTATTCGTATCCAAGAATAAGTTTTGTTCGTTAGACATGGAGTGAGCCTATAAAATTCTGAATTAAATAATATTAAGTTAAATATCGGAAATATCGTTCTTGCACCTGCACAACCAACGGCCTAGGAAAGGCCCTGAACGGAATCCTCATTTTCGCGAATCGCGAGTTCCCGTCGATCCGCGGATAGCTCGACAGAAACGGAGCTCTCGCCTCGATTGGGGGATTATTCAGCACAGCTTCGCGATATCGACTTCCCGACACGTCCTTAGGAGGTCTTCCGGAAGTCTTTGGATGTTTCTCGGGCGATGATGGGCCGGCTCGACGGGCCTCGGTATCCGTTTTATTAAAGGAGCAAACTCCTTCGATAACTCTTTCGGGCTTTTTCCCCGGCCTCTGGTTCTCCCTGAAAATACCTTGCCGCGTCTTTTCCGCGGCGGTCGTTCCCTTTCCTCGCCTCGTCTACACTCCACGTTTCCAGGAAAGACCGAACGACCTCCACTGTACTTAATTTTTGGTTTAACGGTGAGTTAATGACTCGGCTGGCCATTCTTGTTAGAACCGTTAATCAACGACCACGGCAAGACTCGTTAATCAACGTCCACGTCGATACCGAGTCATGAAGTCACCCATCACCTGCACGAGCGCTGCTTTGTTCCTAACCTGCACTTTCAAAGAAGGTCGACGGATCTCGATTAAATTCCTATAATGACATGACTCACGTTGTCCACACTTATCCAGGTGATTGGTCGCCGATAATTCCTCTCTACAGTAACATTTCCTTTTCCTTGGCTCGCAGAAGGAGCCCTCGAAGCCGCATTCCCGGTCGTCCTTGCACTCGTCGCCGAATTTCTTCCCACCCCGGCCTGTGAACCAAATAAAATATGTGCATGCGCATCTACATACATGTACATGTTTAAGGAAACTTGTTTGTGCATTTTTATGAGGTCGAACGTGGGATACGTTCCTCGGGTTTCGTATGTATCGATGTTTGACCAAAGAACTCAAGACATCGAAACTGCTGGCATATTTACACGAATTTCCAGTTCACTCGAAAAAAATAAATAAAATATCGTGTTTCCTAGCTACGTAATAAAGAAAAACTGATTTTTCGACCTTCTCTGCGATTAATCGCAAATGCTAAACACGTTTTTGTATAATTGGGGAACCATTTCTCGGAACCTGGAGGGATTATATAAAGAACGGTGAATGTTTACGGAAATCGATATTTTTTAATGAATAATTAAGACTCTAGGGCTAGACTCTGGAAAAATTTCCGATTTGTTTAGCGACGTGGCGGGGGTTGGTAAAATCAAATCTGGGGAATAAAGAGGATGACGAGAGATTACTTACGAACCGCTCTCTTTCCCAATTCTCCTGAATTATTCATTGATCCTGTGTACTGTGTACTCGATTAACAATGTACTCGCGTGAACTGAAAAACGGGTCTCCGCATAAAAAGGCTCGCAATTACGTGACATTCAGAAAGGTAATCCATTCGTCGACAAATATTGACCCATAATTTCGTATTCGAATTTCGTCTGAGAGATTAACTATTCATATTTATACAGAATCATACATTATAATGCAAATTATGACAGAATGTATACGCACCTAATTTGTATGATCTGATCGATCGATCTCGTGAGTATTCATTAAATGTACGTGATATTTATGACATTATGACATTTTACGGAATAATTGATCTATCTATCGGTATACAATCTATTAAAGAACCACCTATTTTAATATGTCCAGAAACGTTTACTGGATGTCCAATGAAAGTTCTTCGAACAAAAGACACAACTAGTCGCAGATAATCGAGGCCTGAAGAATTGTGTTAATTGTAAAAGTTTGATCTCTCTCGGTTGGAATTCAAGTACGTTGTCGGGAGAGTAAATAGTTTCCGAGAAAACCTGTGATTTCCAAAAAACTAGGTGAATCTTCCCCCACTTTTTTGGGCGTGAAACCGAAACGCATCCCGGACAATAGCAAGAAAGCTACCCTCTCGGGCTCCTCAATCGTGCAAAACGCTGCAAAGCTCAGCCTGATTGCTGCATTGTTCGAGAATAAAGCGCGTGATACTCGCACGCGATTTCGCTCGAAGTGAAGAGCTTTTCGGAGTCGGCTACGACTGATTCGAGCTTCTCGTTCGGTTACTCCCCAAGGGTGGACGACCGATATTACAGAATAACAGAAAAGTCCCCGAATAAAAAAAAAGGACATTTTTCGCTAGAGAAAAGAAATGTCCACTTCCTTTTTAATGGCCTTACGCCTATCCTTCCAAACCATAATTCACTGTTTTCGATTAATTCCTAAGAGCTTGACTCAACATTTTATCCGTCCAAGATAAGGGCTTTCCTCGTGGGATGAAAATTCTTCTTTTCGATCGAATAAATTTATACAAGGGGGTGAATATTTTATATGCAGCTTTTTAGCCACCCATCGCGTATGCATTTATGCAGGGTACGCGTGGTACTTTCGGACATATTGTCAGGTTCCACTAAAAGAAACCTTTCAATAATTCCAGAGGAATTGTGGCCTAATTACTAGATGACAATTGACGGTAACGAAATTACAGGTTAGCCGGCGGGCCTCCCCGAAAGCCAAGTGACCACTCGGACATCGCCGCGGCAGCATTTGCCAAACGACGACCTTGCTCTCGTCAAGACAAAGCCGTTAAATTCCGAGTACGACCTACATACCACTTCACCTTCCGGGCCTGGTCCTTTGGGGAAATGACCTTTGTCTCTTCGTATTAAACGTACCGGAGTTTGCACTCTCAAATGGCGAATAAAGCCCAAACAGCGTTTTCAAGAGCACCGTTTCTTAACGTTAATGGGACTCGGATACGGAACTTATGAGAATAATCTACTTCCCGAAGGTCACGGTCGCGAATTTATTTTCTATCTCCATTTCTTCCTATTCCCTGTATTCCCTGGTACATTTCACTCTAATATCTCATCAATGAGTACGAAAAAGTTTACTAAGGCTCGGTTCCATCAGCCGCGGTTAACGAGTTAATCCTCGGTTACAGTGAGTTGTCCGTTGAATGTACGGTTAAATAATGAATGATTTAATCTATATTGATAAAACCGGCCGTAAAGTTGCGTGGACAAGATCCTACATCCGCAGCATAAAAATGATCGTTTATGCGTTCCTGAAATGGAGTGCGAAATGGGATCGAAATAAAGAGTTGACCGCATTGTAAGGTCTCGGTCTCTCTGAGCGCGTCAGGTGTCGTACAAAGCCCGACGAGCCAATGCGTCAAAGATGGAAAATCAATCAGAAACGTGCTTATCCCCTTACGTCACTTTGCCGCAGTTCTGATTGAGTTTTCATGCTCGGCGCGTTGATGTGCCGCGCTCTGTATGACACCCGACACTCTTGGTAAGACTCCGGCTTAACGCGGGAATGCAATGTCGCGTTGAAAGTAATTTGCCCCTAATAACAACTATTGTAAATAAGTCTCTACATTTTTCCGCAATATTTCTTTCGGTAATTTTTCAAGAATTTAATTGACTATAAGGAATGTCCCATTTTGAGAGTTCTTGCATACGCCTCCGCGAAATTACGCACGATCTACATGCTGGGCGCGATTCGACGCAACCACGTTAAAGCGGGTCGCGCAATTGCACGTGGACGAGTTAACTATTTCTCCCCATTGTAGTGCCGATATTATCGCGGAAGGAACTTAATCGATTTTCAAAAGTCTCATTTAGAACTTCCAACGCGCATCGCGGTCTTCCACGTGACCGCGTCGGATATCGCCGATATGGGGTTTTCATTCGGACGTAAAAAGCGATCCTTTACGACAAATCGCAAAATCCGCTCGACCGTTTCCCTTGATCATCCAAACATGCAAGTTGAAGCTCTTGCATGTTCGCGATCGGGGCGTTTCGGAAATATCTGGTTTATTTTCGAGCGAAAAAAGCACCGTCTGGCGGTGTCAGCAATAACGAGTACTTTACGTGCGCCTAACGACCCGTGGATTTTATGGTACGCTTTTACGTCCTAGTTGTACAGAGTGCCTTCTCGAAAGACTTCTGACGCTTCATTCTTCTCTCGGGTGAAAGTTGAAAAATCTCTTTACGGGATTTTAACTCTTCTTACAACGTTGCAGTAGAATAAGAACTCGTCATAGCAGACGCGTCGTGAAGTTTCCGTTCCCGTTCCGCTATCAATTGGTCACCTCGAAACTCGTCAATAAAAAAAAGTAATATCAGTCGTAAACTTCTTCAGTTCCTAGGTCAGAGTTTCGCTTTGAAAATTCGTCAATTTTTAGAGTGCATACCTCATTCTTGGATAATATGGAATTCGCGACGGAATCGCCAATCTTTCGGTATCTGGTGGGATATACGCTAGGCAAATCCCCGTCTCCCTCGTTTTTTTTTCCTATCCTTTGAAATCTATAAGTTAATGTTAATGTCCACCGTAGAGCGGTAATAGGGATGACAATTCAAGTGGTCAGTTCATGGAAAGGTTTGAGGGATTTTGATAGATTTCTTCTCCCGCCTGAGCACGAGATTGCTAAATAACTGGTTGCTACTTTGTTCACCGGTCACAAGTAAACAGGTGTCTTCATGCCCAAACATCGTTGACCCGTCACGAGTCAACTGTTAATTAGCTATTAAAAAGTCCAATTTAAATTTCTCAAAGCGGAGCTCCGCTTTATCCCTTTGATCGCTGAGTCCTTTCCACGTATGGGCGAAATTCATCACCACGTACAGGCCACCCTGGACCAAACGCGTTGGATGTATATGTACGTCCGTAGAAATCAAAGGGTTAACGTGTCGCATTTTGCTGAATCGCCCCAATGTTACATCGTAACGAGCAATAGAATGAAATACGCACGAGTTAACAATATTTCCCCGTTATACCGCAGATATTAACATTAATATCGAAGGTCGTTAATTGACAATGAAAAAAATCCATTTCAAGCGTTTAAAGCTTTGTCCCGTTTGTAAAGAGTGCTAAAGCAAAAAACATAATCGCGCAAGTTGCGTCCAAATTAACAATTTATCCCTGCTGCAGCGTAAGTATTAATGATAATACATTGTTAACCGGTCACGAGTTAACTGGTTCCACAACAACTAGCGTTCTAAAATTGCCGGTTAACAAGATGTTAATATCGAAGGATGTTAATTGACATTGAATAAAATCCATTGCAAGCGTTTAAAGCATCGTCCCATTTTAACGCGGTCGCGCTGCGTGACGTCGCATCGCGAGAGTGCTAAAGCAAGTAGCATAATCGCGTATGTTGCATCAGAATTAACAATTTGTCCCCGCTGCAGCGCAGGTATTAATATTAATATCGAAAGGCGTTAATTGACAATGAATAAAATCCATTTCTTGCGTTTAAAGCGTCGTCCCATTTTAACGCGGTCGCGCCGGGCGGCGTCGCATCGCGAGAGCGCTAAAGCAAGGAGCGTAATCGCGTATGATGCATCAGAGTTAACAAGTTGTCCCCGCTGCAGCGCAGACATTAATATTAATATCGAAGGGCGTTAATTGACAATGAAAAAAAAAGTCAATTGCAAGCGTTTAAAGCGTCGTCTCATTTTAACGCGGTCGCGCCGGGTCGCGGCGAATCGCGAGCGTGCTAAAGCGGGGAGCGTAATCGCGTATGTTGCGTCCGAGTTAACAATCTGTCCCCGTTGCAGCGCGGGAATTAACACGGCGACATATAGCGTGGATGGGGGAGTAAAGCGGCGCTGTGCGGGTCAATCCACGCGTTAAAAGTGGGTCATCCTCGAGCGCGTGCGTGGCGTGCTGCCAACGGTCTCACGGGGTTCGCGCCTCGGCGCTCCGTTCAATTTTCGGCAAACCCGGCTTTTCCACGTCCTGAAATTTCCACGTGCATCGA